TCCGTGGATCGAGCATGGCGCAAAGGCACGAGTGCCATCTTGTAGAGCTTGCTTTGCTCTATCGAACAGTACCCCTTATCCTTTGTTGGGCTGAGTCTGGTTGCTTTGTTAAAGCAAGCAAATTAAAACGGATATTATTTTCTTGACAACCTGATAGAATTTTCAGAATTTTCACAGTATCTTTAAATACGAAATAAATTGTGAATACTAAAAATTTTGATTTTTTCGCCCTGCAGAAGCACTTGCTTAATAAAGCCAAATCTTACAAATACACATGGGAAGCATTTTCAGCTATGTAAAGTGTAGTTTGTAGAGGATGATTGCAGTATTATGTGGCACAAATTTGGAATCGAAATCATCAGTAGTTTCGTGCTTTACAACATTGCAAACTCGGCTCCGAGACTTTTGCCCCACCCTGTACTATGATGGTTGTATGATATCTAGAGGTCTGTACCGATTATTTCTGCTATCGTAGTTGTAACGCGAGAATAATGATTAGAGCAAATGCGAATGTATATAGATTTTGATTCCTTCACCAACTCCCTCTTGGCACCTTAGAACATTCTGGACCCTTGATAGTACACAGTACACAGTACTTATTTGACCTAAACTTCTTTTATGCTTCTCTTGGGGCAATCCAGGCTTTTTAGGATAAAGTTCACAATAAATCATGTCGATTCTTGGGCCCGACCGGAAACCCACTGCTGACTTTCGAAATCGAATGCCATACACCATGTGAGTAAACAGCTTCAGATGCAGATGATGAGGAATCACCACTTTTCAGTGCAACTATTTATGAGATTCAGAGATGTGCCAATATTGTTTTTTTGAATGTCTTTCACCGTACTACCAAAGACACAAGCGTTGGCACCGTTCCAATTCCTGCAAACACCTTCGCGATTGGCCATATTAACCATGTCATGACTCACTCCCCAGTCTATAAAGATGCTGAGGGATTTCGACCGGAAAGGTTTCTGATGGATGATGGGACCACATTTATAATAACAAAGTAGGCTCCCTGATTTTGGGACAAGCAAAAACAGCCAAATATTCTCTTAAGAAAGCTACGGAACAACTGTGTTCATTTTCTATTGGGAAAAGGCAATGTGCAGGAGAGGCTTTGGCGATGGTGGAACTATTTGTTGGTTTCATCACTTTACTTCAACATTTCAGACTGGCAGATTTTTCCAGACTAATTCCATAAAATGATAACTTACCTACAGATTGAACCTACGCAGGAAAGACCCGTCGACTTGGGGCCGATTTATGGGGGCATTCTCCTTCCAAAGCCGCAACCGCTCCGAATCACTTCAGTTTTATGCAAATAGCGATAACTGCTGCTAACTGATTGTTTCATTGTACAGTTGCATGAACAAATATTCAAATTGAATTACTTTACAGGAAAATGTCATATTCCCATTAAAATAATTGGTGGCCTGACCTCCCCTTCTTGAACGATCAAGAACAATCAAAGCCCAAAACACTGGTCAGAAAGATGTTCAGATAGCCGCTAAAAGTTAGAGAAATCTCAGCTGGTCAAAAAGAAATCGCATGATGAGCAGAGCATCCTCGCAGAGTTGAACATATGCAATCTGATTAACTTTACGAATGTTTATAACTGTAGAGTCTCGCAAAACTTACCTTATTAGAGAGACGAGAATAATTTTCTCGAGTGTTGCTCTAAGTTCAAAAATTCTCTTCTTGTCTGTTACTGACTCATAAATCTTCACAAGTCATTAGGTTGTCCCAAAGTAAACCGTATCTGTAAATGAATCAAACTGCTTTTGTTTTCCCAGCAGGCGTGGTGTACCATTCGATACAGCGAAGCCAGCTCTACAAAATGACCACCAAAGATCCTTCTAACCGTGACGTGTAAAATTTGAGTCCAAAAATCAAAAATTTTCGACTACATTAAAAATCGGATCTCCTTCCAGAAAATTCTTACAGACCTGCTGCTTGGTCATTGTATATTAGATACATGGTAGTACCCAAAAATGTAGTGGATTTTTTCTGGTGCCTTAAACTGAGACGACATCAACATGGCTCGAAAACAAATGCGACTTTTTTCGGATTTTTTTATCCTGGTATCCGATTACCACAGCACAAACAAAGGTAAAATTCTAAGGTTATACTTACTAAGGCTTGTAATATGCTGTGGCATACGTGGGAGAGGGGATCGGGGCAGAATTTGCCAGTTTTAGACTATCTCTTTTTCTCTCTTTCCAAAAAAAAATCCAGTGAAGATATAATTGAGTACTACTATGTATCTTTGTATAATGGCCAAGTTTGAGGCACGTAGGATTTTTCTTCGCAAAATCCATTTTCAGCTGATAAATTTTTTTTCGATTTTTGCTCCAAAGTTTGACTGGATTACGGCTTAGGCGGATCTTTGGTGGTCATTTTGTAGAGCTTGCTTCGCTCTGTCGATTGGTACCCTAATTCTACCAGCAAAACAAAAGCAATCTGATTTGGAAATATGATTCACTTTGGGCAACCTAATATAATGAGTGCATGCACATAGCTGTTCCTGTGTACATTTTATGCGAATAAGAAGATTTAGTTCATTATGCGTTGGCCGTGATAGTACATTCTTTGCATAAAAATCGGAAGAATAAAAAAGAAGTAAATTAACTTGACATTAGAAACAAAGTCAATAAATTACTTTGACAGGTTGCTGTACAAATTGTTTTATATGTTGCTTATCTCTCTTATTCTTGACTTTTCTTCTCTCTTCTTTAAATTGATTAATTAATTAAATTAATTTAATCATCATGAATGGTTTTCACCTTGCTCTTAAAACCGTTCAGTGACTAAAACGTGAATTTCTGAGCATCTTTTGCTCACAAGGGAGGTCCGTTTGGCCGAAGTGGCCTTTTCACATGAATATAAAGAGCATCGAAGCTGATTCCAAATCAGTTGTTATTCTGCCGAAGCCTCCGGATGTCGGGTATGGGCGTTTTTTGAGTTCAAAAATTGAATGCGTTATTAGAACAAAATTTTTCAGAATTGCTCAAATAATCCAATGTTAATTATCAGAGCACTCCATTCGAAGCATACCTTCTGTCCAAAAAGCTCATACTTAACAATGTTCTATTTGAGCGCTGAAAAGACCGTAAAGTTTGACTTTTCCTAGATTATGCATTCAGTTTTCGCGCCAAGAAAAATTCATAACTAGGCGTGCAGGGGCGCTCGGCAGATAATAAAATCAGATTTGGAATCACCGTTTGATGCTTTTCAAAGTGGTATAAGACTCATTTGGGAAGACCACTTCGACTACTTGGACCTCCTTTGTCAGAAACAGTTCAAATGCGGTCCGTCGCTACTTTCGCGAGTTCAGGTATCATGGACGTGTACTCTTCATAGTAACTACTGCTTCTGCAAAGTTCTTTGGTACTCCATAGTACCAAAAAACTGTGCTTCAGGCTATTAGGCTATTGGGTCCCAAGAAAACTTCAGTGAAATGTTTTTTCACTGATATCTTTGTTCTTCTTTTGCATTATTGAACGGGAAAGTATGATTGTTTTATTACATAACGTTTCTAACTTTTGCGAAATAACCGTGTTTGAACTCGGAAAAACGCGACCATCGCCTGAATCGAGTTCAAGACAGATGGTATTTCCACCTTCTTCCCCATTTAACAGAGCGTCTCTGTTGCTATCCTAGTCAAAATATTCGTTTTCGTAGCGGGGATGTTGTTGATTAGGCTCCAAGCGGGATTTCTTTTGTGCTTTTTGAACTTTGTTTCTCAAGCATTTTCTTTCTTTTGCGTTAAATTAGGACAAAAAGTGAAGTTCAAAGTTATCAATGTAAAATACAGCCAATTCAGCCATTTCCATAGTAATCCACTATATGCTTCACTGGATGCCAACCGTGTAACTCATGGCTACGATCGATAACACGGCAGACGGCTGGGTCCCAGACGGAAACGGTATCCGTGCTCATTCCCGCATGACAACTTCAATGTCAATGTAGTTTCGTAAGAGCAACCGTCTGCTCCTTCAGTTTTGATCATCTGCATTCAACGTCAGCTTCTACAGGGTGTCCCAAAAGTCTTTAAGCCTAGTATTTTTTCAGCTGCAACTGCACGAAGCAAGATTGACACTTGAAATTTGAATGGAATCTTGTGACGAACCTACAAAATAATAAGCTACACTCAGATTTCAAAAATTCCTCATTTGGCCTTCACATAAGCCCTCACACTCTTGCGGAACGCATGCACCGTGGCAGACAGGTAGTTGACGTCGAGAATGTCTCACACCTTCTGAAGGAAGTGTTCTCTACCGCCCAAAATTTAATGTAGAACAGAGCAAGCCTTGCTGTCCATCACTGATCACATAGAAAAGTCAAAGGCTTTTGAGCCAGCAATCAAAGGGATGTTGATCTAAGAAGCGCGCTTGTGAGATTCAACAAAAGTGTCAAAATGTAGCAAGCAAGTTTTCGAGAACATCAAGAGAACAGCAATTATGGCGTACATAGATTGCATTTGAAATGATGTTTCAGTAAAAAACGCAGAGGTTACAGCCAGAATTAGTGACTCAAACTGAACTGGTGATGGAATTTTCAACTTTCTCGGATTTTTGTTCCTGAGAACTTTTTTTCTTATTGGCACGGCACTACTTTGAGTGTTCGTATCTTGATCCTACGGTAAGGTACAAAACTACTGATTAAATTGGCACTGTAAACGTAGAGTGAAGCTAGCTCTACAATATGCAGTTCAAGATTCTGCAAGAGCTTCAAAGGCAAAAGAGCTATAGATGTTTGATTAAAGGGTATGTTTACACTGGGTCGTCCTCAAATAGTAATACCGTTCGCTTCAAGAACAATATCTTGAGAATGTACAGCGCAAACGTTATGATTTTCTTGAGGAATATTGAAACCTAGACGAAGTACTCGTACGCAAAATTTGACTGATAAGCGAGGAATACTAACAAAGTTACTATGTTGGAAAGTTAGGCTTAAAGACTTTTGGGACACCCTGTACTTTCTCCCCTGATTTGAACATGCCTGTCGTACTGAATGTTGGGGGAACGAAGTTCTATACCTCACTCGAGACAGTGAAGAAGAACCCGGGTCCTCTAGATAAAAGCATCTTCGCAAATATGAATGTTGTGGTGAGTTAGCGTTCATTTCAATGTCTTAGTAAAATAGATCGTACGTAGAACTCACAGGAAGGCAAGGAAATTTTCATCGATAGGGATCCTACGCACTTTAGATATATCCTAAATATCTCCGTGATGGTTACGTGAGAGTTGATGGAAACGCAGCTATCCGTGCTCAGCTAAAGCGCGAAGCTCAGGTTGGTGTCGGAGTTTCAACGATAAGTCTCAAATTTTCTTGAGTAAGCTTTGGGCAATGGCTCAGATTAAGTAATACCCAATCTGTCAGCTTTAAACCAAGTTTTTCTTTCAGTTCTATGGGCTCGAAAACCTTGTGCAGCAAATCGAGCGTCAATCGCCCATGACTATGGGGGTTATCTCTCCCGAAGTTCGCGAGAGTCTCCCGCCTGGTTCATACTTCGCCACCTATTACTAGAAATCATCACTGATCATAACATTTTATTGGTGTCTATTGTTCTCTTCTTTATTCAACAATAAATGCGACTGTTTATGGTATCGTATTTGTTTATAGCGAGTATGGGTAAGTGTTGCAGCTGCGGCAAAAACGTAAAAATTTTGGGATAGACTCAATAGTGATAAGTATACTTGAAGAGAGTAAGGTTTTCTTTTTTTAAGTTGTAACATTTCAAACGGACTCATTGAATCTGAGATTACTGAAACTAGAAAATTTGGTGCAAGACTTATGTCCCAACTTGATAAAAGCCTGGAACTGTAGAGCAGCATAATATGACCTAGTAGAATTTCATCCATTTTTGAAAATCTTGTTGCCATTTTTTTACTCAATTCCTACGGCCTTTCAACCAAACAGATTATGGTAGCAGAGTAGAGTAACTATTTTAAGACGCCATTCCATGATTCAGTACCACATTCGGATGACTCGTGATACCATGCGTTGTTTAGAGAAATACAGATCTTCTAGCTGAAATAATTCCTTGAGACTCCGAACAGATCTAATGAGTGTATGATTTAATGTTTGGCTTCTATCCGCTTTGTGTTTCTCTTTCAGAGCGCTAATTTTAACTTGGATTCTTTGGGATCGGCCATACTATTCCTGTTATTCCTACGACTCCTGCGATTCCTGCGATTCCTGTGAGTCCCGCACAGTTTATACGCCGCTTAAAGGCAGCGTCCGGGCAAAATTTCGCCTCTCATGTTTCTGCCATTCTGGGGCCTTTCTGTAGCCCTGATTACAGTTGTAAAGTCCAAATTGTTCAAAACTCCCAAAAAGCCCGGTTCTTGGGGACCCTCTCTTCAAGGAGCGGACGAGTTTCGAATTGCTCGTCCCCATCATCATGCCAGCGGGAAGAGCTGCAACTACAAGGATGCAGTTGCATTGTAGTGTGCAGTGCAACTGCAATGCAACTGCAATGCAACCGCACAGCTGCGTAAGCATTCGTCCTCAGGGGTGGTTTGTGATACGAAGGGGTGGCTTGTGATACGTATCACAGACCCGTATCTCCTTTTAGAGGGCACGTCAAAGGATTGGGCCAACGCAGATCGGATACTCATGGGCCCCTCTTTACAACTATATGCTAATCTGGGTGGATAGATCTTGCCTGGACGCTGCCTTTAAATGAGCGTTGCGTGTTACGTGTTGTTTTACGCAACACGCGCTCATTTAAGCGCCGTCTAAACTGTGCGGAACTCACAGGAATCGCAGGAGTCGCAGGAGTCGTGGGAATAGCAGGAATAGTATGGCCGATCCCTTCTCAGGACACACATTTTTACCCAATGACCGTCAAAAAATCTAAGTTTATCATGTTAATTAGAATATTAATTGATGAAACAGATAGATATGAAACAGATATGAAATTGCGATTCGAAAGTGCGACTCAACAGAGTTGAGAATAAATCAAAACGACAAGGGATGTTGAAAGAAAGAATCGTTGAGATATTAGAAGAGAAACGCTGAGTTGATGAGTACAGCGGTTACCTTCGAAATTCCTCCTTTGCAATTGCACGCATAAATCTATTTATTTTCTTTTAATTCCTTCCTAGATTGGTATGCATAAACAGAAATTCTCACTATGTATCAGCAGAGATAACATTTTCTTGTAAAGTTCCAGAAGAGAAATGAGAGATTCTTCAAGAGAATGTGGTTACGACAAGCAGTAATTTGCAGATTCTTGAACAATTTAATTTACTTGCTGCCTTGCTCCCTTATTCTTATTCATCAGTGTTTTTCCTTTCCTTTTCAAGGCTCACTTGATTTCTTCGTACATTTTCTTGACTTCCTTCAGCAGGATTAGTGTTTTTTCTTCTGCATACTTTCTGCTTCCAGCTTTCTTCTTTCAGAACTTTTAGTTTTGGAACCAAAGGGGCCAGCAATACCCCTTCTTAGGAAAAGTTTCCCAATGTTCTTTCGGGATCTTCGATGGAGGCGATACTGATTGAGTGCAAGATGATTTGCATCTGGCGCTTGTCGGGATGCAGCTATGACCCAACAGCTGCTAGCGATGGAGGTTGGCCTAAGACAACGAACCTCGGACAGTGACCTCCGCCCGTCGGCAGGAGCCGGTTCCCTCTTTCCCCTTTCCCCTTCCCCTTTTGTATATAACTTGTATAATAAACATTATAGTAAGGCTCATGTAACCCCGCTACACATCAGGTAAAGGACCTGCAGACCTTTATCCTGACATGGAAGTCCCGGGAAGATTTTTTTTCTCAATTCCTAAAATTAAATTTTTTTTATCAACCAATCAACCATATGGTAAATAATATTCGATCCCCTCCTCCCCTCTGCCACAATCTTCCAACCGTCTGGATGGAGTCACTCAACAACGAATGAAAGCGAGTGTGTGAGTTCTAACTGTTTTGTTAATTTATCTATAATAATCGTGTGCAGTGAAAATATTTAATCATTTCAGAAGGAATAAAATAAAATAAAATAAATTAAAATAAAATAAAGTAAAATAAAATAAAAAATAACAGTCCTGCGAACAGTCCCATTTTTGTCAATTCTTTCTTTCGCAAAGCGCTCGCATCTCCCGTGATCCGTGATCCCGTGATCCGTGAGTCCGTGAATCCGTGATTGCATATCCGTGAATTTTTTTTTGAAAAAATTGCCGTGATTCCGTGATCCGTGATCCGTGAATCCGTGAAACCGTGATTCCGTGAATTTTTGTTAACTTATTTTCTTTTTTTTCTTTTTTATAATTAGACAATGGACTTGTTCGCAATTGCTAGCACAAAATTCACTGCAGTATTAGACCCAGAAAGATAAATCTGCTGGCCCACTGCAGATAACTTCTGCTGGGAAGTGTCGACAAAACGTAATGCTTCGACCTCTCAGGAAGTATAGCAAAACCCAGTGCTACTGTCCGCGCGCGGTGACCCCCTTTGGCTATAGAGCAACGCAGCTGCCCTCGCAAGTTGTAAGCATGTGACCCGCGACAAATTTTTTTGTGACAAATTAATATTATTTGAGCGCTATGACCTTTCAGCTGCGATAGTGCAAATACGTCTGCTTTGTGTCGCGATAAGCCTTGGAACAGGATTAATAATTGCGTAACCTAATCTTTTACGATCATGGTATACGTCCAACAGCAGCAGTTGCACAGTATGACCCCTTAGCGTCTGTTCTTATGCAACTTATACTGCCAACAGCAACAGTTGTGCCCGATGTCCCGCTGCCGTATATCTTACGCAAATTATATTATCGTAATGTTTACCTTCTGCTGTCGAATACAAAATCACTTCAAACCTTTTGAAATATTCAGAAATATTCATACTATACACAACACTAATTATATTGTTTGTTGTTTCATGAAAATGATACACGTCTAGATCAATAAAAAAAAAATTTCGACGGCTTTGGTGATATTCCGCGCCTCACAGATAATAATAGCACTCAAATCATTCTTAGTGCAGGATCGTACTTTTGAAGATTTACCGCGTTTTGCTAAAATTTCCCATCCATTGAACAAACTTGGCATAAACAAAAATGCAGCTTTTCTTTGGAGCAAGGAGTAAGAAATAGCATTCCAAGCATTAAAACATGCCCTAGTGGATGCGCTTGTTTTAGTGCTTCCTATTCTAGGAAAACCCGATATCATCCACACCGATGCATCAACCATCGGTCTCGGCGCGTGCCTCCTACAGTCAATCCGGAGACTAGTAGTGAACATTTGATCGCACAATGCAACCGCCGTTTAACAAGACACGAGAGGAACTGGCAACATTACGTTAGATTCGCTATACGTTGCTTTTACGGTAGTTCCGTGTTGATAACTGACCATAAAGAGCAAAGAAAAAATCTCCCATGCGTAGGTTAGATCTCGTGCATCGCCGTGCTAAGCAAAAGCAAATATTTATTTGTCTCTTTTTAGTCAATCATGTCGATTCTGATAGCCTCCACTATGAGGTACACTCGGCATGCCTCAAAAGTTAGATGATAATTATGCTGCTTAAGGCGAAAAAAAAAATTCAAGTAGTATGTCCACTGAATCTGAAGTAGTCAAACAAAAGCGCAAGTCAAGTCGATATTCGCAAGATGCGTAACTTGCACACCCAATTTATAACTCACATTTTTTTGAGAAAGCTAATTTCAGAAAAAAAAATCAAGCGAAATTGTTTTGACTGTATTTTTCAGTATATCCTCCGAATGCCTTGTGAGCAGTGTTAATAAAAAAAAATTTTGTAGTACAAAGAAAAAAAATTTCTATTGGTTATCTGAGACTATAATGGTGCTGAAGAAAAAGCCTTGTGCCGGTAACTCCTAAAAATATATTTTTTAACTACATAGACTCATTCGAGGTGAATAATGACGAAGACAATACAGTATTATCATATCTGCTATGTATAATCTTTTCAAAATTTCGAAAATAAAATTATGATGCAGCTAATTTCAAAAAAAAAAATTCTTGAAATTTAGGTTTTATTCTCCAAGTAAGGAAGTAAAAAAAAATTCTTTGACTGTCCAACCTTTAAGAAGTAATTTTTGCAACGTTTTGTAAGTGTTAATTCATTCATGTGCCTTGCTCCTACTCGGTCTACTCGGTGAACCTTCCGAACCTTCTTTCAGTAAATACTCTTCGATATGATATACCGTAGGCAGGCTGTTGCTGATTTTTTTTTGGAATTTCTACGAGTAGTGAAGAAAACCAAAATATCTTTCATTGAAAATTCAAAATATATTTCACGAATGTTATATGGTAGAGCCAAGTATCTGAAATACGCACGTAAACAACTCTGCTCGCATAATTCTGCTCAGGACTACCACTTTTACTCAATTTGTTGAAAGTTCAAGAAATTCAAATTTTGCGCGGCTAACAAAACTTCACCACTTGTCCGGTTCTGGTTCCTCACAAAGTTTTAATTGCAGTGCCAATGTCTAGCAAAACATTTTTCATCTCAGTCATCTTACAAAAAAAGAAAGGAATACAGACAGCATCAGAATTTTGCTTTACAAGGCGTATTTGCGCACCTCCAAAAGAAAAAAAAGCAAGCTCACAAAATCCTGTTAGTCTCCAAATTAATCTACCACTTCAGAGAATCTCCTCGTTATTTCATACAGATTTTCAGAAATATGTGCTTTCCTATTGTTCTAGATTTAGAGAAAAGTTTCATTTGGTTATCATACTTGTATTCAACATGAAATAGAGATTCAGAGGAAATTTTCGCTGACAATGAGATAAATTTTCCTGCTTAAGCTGAAAACTCTTCAGAACTTCTGGAAAAGAACAATTGGACTTTTCATCCATAGTTTCCAATGGTCTTATTGCTAAGAATTTTTTCCCATTTTTGAACAGAATCTTGTCCGTACCAGAGCTTGCTTATGTCAAAAGAATTTCTTGCTATAAGAAAAACACCACTTCAACTATATTAAACCGCTTTCTACATTTGAGATACTCTGACAAAATGCGTCCTGGTATCAATTTTAGTCTGTTCAAATGTATTTGAAAATTTTTTTTTGAAAAGAAAACCGTCAGCATATTGTAGAATTTACCTCAGAACCCCAAAATAAGAAGAAATCAATAGAAGCGCTTATGCGGCCATTATGATTACACATCCACTTTTGGAATGATATAGCAAGCATTCTCTCAGCTCTCAGTTCAATAAACCTACGAAAACATCAAATCAAACTGCATTTCAAAAAAAAAAGATTTAATTCTTTTTCAATTTTCTTTTCAAAACTCTCACCAATCACAGAAATGATCTTGAGCGAAAAGAACCTCGTCGGTTTTATGTGTATCAAATATCTAGTGCAGTTTTTGACAGTACCAATCTTGAATCTCAACTTGAAATCAAAACTTTTCCAAAAATCACGAAAATTTTCAAATTTCTCATCACATTCGGGGTTTATCATGCGTCAAAGCATCCTCTTCTTTTCCCAGAGCATTAAAGTTCTAAGGAATACTTTGTTTTTAAGATATAAAAAACCTTTTTAAGAGGACAGAACACCGAGTCAACTTTTTACGCTTTCCGAAGATTGAAAAAAATTTTTTAGAGGTTGATTTGACAATTGAAACCATTGCTAAATTGTTTTTTTCTACAAAAGGTCACAGTTGATTTCACTTGACACAAAAGCAAATTTTTTCTTTTCGAAGGAAAAACAGAATTAACAGTTTTGTAGATTTAAAGCTTCCATAACGCAATCATTTTAATGATCGAGCTAATTTCGCGAATAAGGAGAACCAGTTTTGAATGCAAAATCGCATATTTTTTGTGCAAATCAAAACGTAGATGATTTGAAGAAAAAAGTCTGGCTAGAAAAAAAAAACGACATGTATCAGAGTAACTTGTTTTCAAAGCTTTCACCCTCAAATTTTCAATCAAACTCTGTTCCTCATACCGAACAACGCTGCCTTCCTGTACGATATGATAGATTCGCAATTTCTCTTTACAAATTAAACGACTATTTGAGCTTTGCCACTAGACTGGAGCCAGCACAATGGAAAAAAATGGAATTGCTAATGAAATTTTCGCATCCGCTGAATTCACCGACAGAAATCAAAGCTCGGCCAAGCTTTCTTTCTAGACGTCTAAATTCTACAGGAAGCTTATAAGTTTTCATTAGAACAGATCAACAAAAGTGTACAACCTAAAATATCTAAAATTCTATGTTCTTCTCACATACCGAGGAAATAAAAAAGGAAGTATTCAGACGTGAATAGTTTTCTTTTTCGAGATTTCCAAATTTTCTCAATTTAAGGCTTGAGATAAATTTTCCTCGATTAATTGAAGTTTGTCTTAAATAACTTTTTCCGCACATCATGAGATACACATTCAGATATTAGATGAGACCTCTTTATGTTCTCTGAAAGTTTACCAAAATATGCGCAAAAGTATTCAGATTCAAAACAGTGGACACACTATTGGTAAAAACATCGGAAAATAGCAGTTCCTCCAGTTTTGTGCAATTGCACAAACCAAGTCTGCATTACGTTGTTAAACGTAGCAATTCAGAACTACATTTAAGAATATTTTCAGAGAATATTACTTGTAGCTGAATGGAGATTGTTTTCAGAGAACAATTCTCTTTTGACCGAAACGCTTCATAGAAGAAATAACTTGCTGTTTGCCAAAAAAAAATCCTCAGTGCTTCTGAACATGTTGAGATATCCAGATTGATATTCTGATCGGAAGCAATGACCGCATTTTTTTGTGAAAGGAGAACGTTTCACGTCAACCAGTCCTCGTTTTTTTTACTAGAAAACAATGGTGATGATTCCTTTACAGATTTCAGCAGAATTCAGGACAATCATTCCATAGAATTTTCTATATTGGATGTGGACGTCGAAGATACATAGATAGCTTTCATAGATTGCAAATTAGTCGTGAATTGCCACCATGGTGTTAGGATCATTTCCGCTGAAGTTCTTATACTTATAACTCAAAAGCTACATATCGTAGTTTCTCCAGTGGAAGCGTTCTATTCGTATAATTTGCTGTGCCAAAATGTACTGTAATTCATTTTGTATAATTTGGTTTGCATTTTCATGTTGTCTATGTCGAAAATGGGCTAATGCTTCCAAAAAACGCACTTTTTTCAAAAAAAAATTCAAAAAAAGGAAACATCAGAACATGAACGACATCGTGTTTGTTTTGTTCATGAATGTAGTCTTGAATTTGGTCGCAAGACTGCAAGACAATTTTTAAATGCAACTCAGTTTGGAAAAAATCCAACTATCAGAGTTTTATTTTTTTCTGCTGTCGAGATATTTCTTAACGTGAGTTTGTTTACACCTATTTTGCCGCACCGCTGCGATTATCTATAAATAAATTTCTTTGAACCGGCAGTTCAAAGAATGGAAAAAATATTTTGTGCTAGGCAGCGAAAAAAAAATTCCTATTTCTCTAACACTCAAAATCTGCCACTATGTTGAATTAAACACAATTTGTTGTGCTCAATTCTGCATCTAAATCTTCCTCTCCGTTTTCCAAGCGATTGCATTATTTATATGCTGTATAACCATATGTCACTCGGTTCAAATTATGCAATACCTTAATATATTACACTTCCTAAAATTCCACATGTAGCTTGACTATTTTTTGTAAAATATAACTTCAGAATCACTAATGTAATCCAATATCGCCTAACACTTTGTTAACTATGTAACTTCTGCTCACCACGGTATTTTCATTAACATGTTCTCAACAAGTTCCCTTCCAAACCATAATTTCCTCATATCAACATTCAATACCGGTCACATTATACTCCCATATCTCCACGCTAATTTTCCTGAAGGTCGATGTTTGGTTATCCAATCCGCCTAAACCAACTCCTCCACTCAGTCCGTCTGAAGATAATGTACCGAAATCGAAGTTCTCTATGGTCTCGCCGTAACACGTGTACTCCTTACGCACGCAACTCGGAAGACGTTCAACAACAGCTGAACAAGCTCGAGGACGAGCTTTCTGAAGGAATGGAGATGTCGGGATGCAGCTATGACCCAACAGCTGCTAGCGATGGAGGTTGGCCTAAGACAACGAACCTCGGACAGTGACCTCCGCCCGTCGGCAGGAGCCGGTTCCCTCTTTCCCCTTTCCCCTTCCCCTTTTGTATATAACTTGTATAATAAACATTATAGTAAGGCTCATGTAACCCCGCTACACATCAGGTAAAGGACCTGCAGACCTTTATCCTGACACGCTTACCACCTTTCCTGACTATTACGTCGAAGGTCGTACTCGGAAAAAGAATTCCGCAGATTTCTGAGCATCCTTTGCTCAGAAACAGTTTGAATGCGATTCGTCACTACTTTCGTGAGTCGTCCACATATCATAGACAAGTACTCTTCATAAGGAATAGGGCTTCTGCGAAGTTGTTTGCTACTCTCAAGGGAGGTCCGTTTAGTCGAAATGGCCTTTTTTAGTGATTCCTATACCACTTTGAAGAGCATTGAAAGATGATTCCAAACCAGCCTTCATTGCCAAATGCCTCTGATGCCGAGTTACGGGTGGGGGGGGGGGGGTTGAAAAATTGAATGCGCTACTCGAACAAACCCAAATGTTCCATTGTCAATTATCAGAGCACTTCCGCCAATAGGTAACTCCGCCTAATACACTCATACTCAACATTGCTCTACTTATGCGCTGAAAACATCGTACCGTTTGATCTTACTTAGATTCTGCGTACATTTTTTGCTCCAAAGAACTCATAACTCGGCTCCTGAGGAGCTTGGCAGATAATAAAAGCAGGAGTCAGCGTTCAATGTTTTTCGGATGCCAACCGTGTACTCATGGCTACGGTCGATAACACGGCAGACAGCTGGGTCCCAAACGGATATGGTATTCGTAGTCACGCCCGTATGTGACAATGTCGATGTGTCAACATAGTTTCGTCAAAGTAACCGTTTGCCATTCTGTGTTGATCACCCGCATTCAACAGTTTCATTCCTCTACTCTCTTGATTTCAGTATGCCCGTTGTACTGAATGTTGGCGGAAAGAAGTTCTATACCTCGCTCGAGACACTGAGGAAGAACCCCGGTCCTCGAGACAGAAGCATGCTCGCGGAAATGGATTTTGTGGTGGGTGATCATTCTGTATCTGGTGCTATTCCACATTACCTAGTTGACCCAAAAAGTGAAAATTCTGAAATTCGCTAGAATTTCGACTAGGGGGTTATTTGATACGCTGAACACGAATATGATGTTTATTCCGCGCGGTAGCGCCATCCGTTGGAGATACGGTGGGGTTACGGTAAGGGGTCAAGATTACGACTTTGCCCGAAACTTCATTTAGAGAAGTTATTTAGCATGTTGTACACGAATATAACGTTTGTTTCGTGCGCCAGCGTAATCCGGTGGAGTTACGTTGGACTTTCGGGCTTCGTGTTTAGCCCCTATTACAATCCTACCGTAACTCCACCAGATGGTGCTACCGCATGAAATGAACATCATATTCGCAATCGGCATGCTAAATAACCCTTAAACGAATTTTCAGCGAAATTCTGAATTTTCATGTTTTGGTCAACTAATGTAGAATAGTACCCTGTACCCCTGTCCAACAGTTGCATATTCAAGTGAATTTGAAATTTGTAGGAAGGAGAGGAAATTTTTATCGATAGGGATCCCACACACTTCGGGCATATCCTAAATTATCTCCGGGATGGTAGCGTGAGTGTAAATGGAAGTGGAAGTATCTGTGCTCAGATAAAGCGCGAAGCTCAGGTCGGTTTGGGATTTTCAACGATAAATCTTTTTGAATTTTCTTGAGTAAGCTTTGTACAATGGCTCCGATTGAGTGAAATCTAATCTATCCGCTTCAATCCAAGTTTTATTTTCAGTTTTATGGACTCGAGAGCCTTGTGCAGCACATCGAGTGTCAATCTCAGCACACGATTGTGGAGACTCTTCCACGCGAAGTTTTCGAGAACCTTACGCCTGGTCCGTACTTTGCGATACCCATTCCTAGAAATCATCATTGATCATCGTTTGATTGCTGTGTCTGTTGTTCTCTTCTTTATTCAGCAATAAATGCGACTGTTGACAGTATCGTTTTGTTCATAGCCACATGAGAAAATGTGCAGTTGTGGCATAAATTTCGTAGAAATTCCGATGTAGGTTAAATATGTAGCGAGCGGATAAGTAGACAACAGAAAAGGAGAAAGATTAGGAGAAAGAAAAGGAGAGAGAAAAATTCGCAAGATGACGGTGAGAAATTCAAGATGAGTGTATGAGCACCAGTCCCACGGTTTACTAGGAATTCGGTGTGGTTAAGTTAGAATATAAGTCTTGCACCAAAATACTCCAGACGTAATCTCCTCAGCAATCAATCAGCATTGTCATACCGCGGCAACAGTACCTGTTGAAGGCAAACACTCATACTGCATTTCCCCACTTTTAATTCCCAAAAATGCTCGGCCAAGAATTTTTAACTCCACTATTTGTTTGGGTTTTATAATTTACGCATTTTACTGAAATTCGTGTTGATAGGACGTCTCCTTGAGAAGTTGCAATTTTGGAATTTTTACGTCCAGTTCTGCTACTGTTTGAAATAAAATCTCTAATGTATACCATAAAACTCTACGAATCATAAAAACAAAAAAGCTATATAAAGAATCGCAATATCAATTCAGAAAACATCAGATAGCGGGAAACCGCGGTGCGGTCCCGAAGCGCGAGAATGCAGTCTAGCACCTTTGATTACCGGTTCACTAGTCTAGCGACCAAATCGCCGCTGTGAGCGTTTCAGCTGCATTTTTTTTTCAAAACTTTACGTGCAAGACTTATGTCCCAACCTAATAAAAACTGGGCCTACTTGCAGAGCAGCATGCAATGAATCTTCAGTTGCACAGGTTACGCTAGCACAATATAGTAGCTACCGTAAGACGCCACTCCATTTATTTCACAACCACATTTGAATAACTCGTAATAGCGATGATGTTGAAAGAGCAATAGATGCTTGAGCTGAAAAATTCCTCGGAAATTTTACAAGAGCAGATCTAATTGTGTGCTTGATTTATTGTTTGGCTTCTATTCGTTTATTTTTCTCGCTACAAAACGACGCAAGGTTGAGAAACAGTGGTAAATGTATTGAAGCGTTTTGCATCGTTCTGAGATTCTAGGCCGGCAATATTCTTAAGTGCAAAATGTTAGCTGTTAATCAGAGGATCGCAAAATACTTTCGGGGAGAACTGAAGTTCTAAAACCTCCGGGGGACACTCCTATTGGAGCTGCCAGGTAGGGCGCGGCCAGGTTGAACGGGGTCCACCCACAAGGGCCAATAAAAGCGTCCTCCCCGGAAGATTATGAAGTTCAATTTTACCCGGAAGTATTTTGCGATCGTCTGAGTACAAATATGCAGAGGCTGTAAAGATTTCTCCTTAAATCGTACTAACTTGGCAGTGTTGTGTTCGCAGATGACTTTCATAGATCATCACCACGTAATACGAGTTGGACGAAATATCGCGGACTGTCCCTTATGTGCATACGAGGCGGGTGGGATACAAGAAACCGTCCCGATTTTTCTTCCGTATCCTGGGCAGAAATATCAAAAATCAAACCGTCAACATACCACTGCTTTCCATGCAAAACAATCACGAGACATGTTTGGGCACATCGAACTGTCTCAAGACAATGCTTTCTTGTAAATAAACCATCCCGAGCAACAACGTTTGTGGAGTATACCCATTCGCCTTGTGAGCTGTGCTTAGCGGTTTTACGTGAGTTTTGGTGAAATCCTTTTTATAGAAAGAAAGCCATGGTCACTAAATTTTGCTAGATGAGATTTTTGAAATCTTATATTCGCATTTGGCGAAAAATCTGCTGATGCTTATGTTGTTTTATTTTTGGTTTTTGCTTGTACAAAGAGCGTATCATTTGAATGGGGTTTCGCTGTTAGAGCCAGTCATCTTCTCAGGTGCATTATTTCAAAATATAGAGTATGATACAGCTGCGTTCCACTCCGTCAAGAATAATTTGGTCTCACTGGCGGATTCGATATCTAGGAAAGGGCAATATCCTAGCAATTGACCTCGTAACAGATCTATTAAAAATTTGCTCAGAAAGTTGATCTCAGCGCAGTTACTGGGGAAATCTCTTTCTCTCAAGAAAAAAAGCATACGATTAACTGGATCTCGCTAATGAATTTTGAAGCAGTGAAATCAGTAACTTGTTGTAGAACTTACCAGTTTGTTCCTCAGTACACTTATAGCGATCCGAAAGATCGCTAGTCATTGTTAGTCTCAATAAAAATCAATTATAGCGCCCACCAAGCAGGCTTGATAACCGCAAAATCGGTTTTTCTTTCTACTTTGCATTCAAAAAGCTGTCTGCTATGCAATAATAGAAAAAATCTCTTATTTCATCAGATTCTCTAACAAGGGAAGGATATTTGATTTAAGCGGCGTTTCTATGGCTCCCGCCAGAGTGCCGAAGTTATGCCAGCGCTACGCCAGCATTTCGATCGATACACGTGTATTTCGTTGGGGCGGGGCTAGCTGACGTCCCCAACGAAATACACGTGTATCGATCGAAATGCTGGCGTAGCGCTGGCATAACTTCGGCACTCTGGCGGAAGCCTATATGAAATATATACTGTCTTATAGAACAAAGGACGCTGTTTTCAAATCATTGTGGCATCTGCAAAGCGCTTCTGGGCGGAATGGGAATTTTTTGATGCAAAGTTCGAACGCGCCGCTACATTGAAATTCGGAACGGTAATCCGTGAGCTCAAATAGGGCCAGGACTATTGCCAGGATTGATTATTGATTATTGCCAGGATGCTTTGTGCAATTAATACCTCGAGTCTAATAAAATCATGCTAGTCATCAGTCCTTTTAGGCGCTGGAAAGATTTCAACACCTGCTTTTATCTTAGCCAAGCCCTTAGATTTTCACCTCAAAAAACTCCCACAACTCACCTCCCAAAGCAGCTTTGCAGATAATGAAAGCAGATTTGGAATCAGCGTTTCATGTTCTATAGGTAAATTCATATTTTGTATGGAAACGCCACTTCGACCAAGTACCTTTTCCTTGTAAGGGGAGGCTTTCCCAACACCGCATTTCACTCTAGTGCGGTTATAAAAGTCGGTCGGCCCCGCTCACTACCTAAACCACCGATGTCAACAGCAGCGTTTCGTCACCAAACGCGCTCTCCATGTTGATGATGCCCTTCTGGTAGAGAATTTTACGTTCTGTATAGGCTCCACCCTCGCGAACGAATTGCACGAGGCTGGATCCTTCTTATATCTATACCAGTCCAAAGCGCCGCTTCGCGGCGCTTTGAACTGGTTGTGTGTGTAAAGTAAGATGTGACTAAAACTAAAAGTTAGAACTTACGAAGTTCTGCTGAGAACCTTTTCTTCCTCAAAATATAGTAAGATTTTTTGACACTTATTCTGGGAGATTAGTCGAGGGTAACGAATCTTCCCTCCTATTCCAGAGTTTTTTTAACAAAAGTCTCAACAGAATTTCGACTGCTCTCTCCCAACTTCTTTTATCCGCACCACTGTTTCCTCCTATGCTTTACAGGGTTAGATAGTTTTGCATATTACTGCATTTTGCAAACTCGTTGTCCTTCTTTTAGGCAATTTGCCTTCTTTCCCCTCTCCCCCCCCCCAAGTTCTTTTTGCACGAAAGATTCTGGATGAAATCCCTGATCTACCAATCTTTCACGCATTCTTACACTTCTCAAATCTAACACAATCGCCTTCGGGTTATGCATCGAAGCTGCCGTATTCAGATGCGCCGCTTACACATTTATTCAAGCCATGGTTCAGCATCACTTCTGCGATTTGATGCTAGTCGTTTGGGACCTCTCAACCTCTCTATTTCCTCATCATTTTCTTTGACTATGACGGCATGAGGGCAAATGCAGGCAAAGGGTTTGCGCTGCGGGTGCGCGTTTCCATCGAAGGTTTCAGCCTTATTGCGATTGAGACATATTGTACTTAACAAAGCTATCATTCCTTCGACATTTTGCGGCTATCTGGATGCTCCAAACTTTTACAAACTTAAAGGCAGCGTCCAGGCAGATCTGGACCTATGAGGCTTTTACGTAGAAAGTACTTTCGGGGCCCTAACTAAGGCACTGCCCAAGCGGCAGCTCAGGTAGTGCTCTAATGGCTGAGATATTCCCCTAAAACTGGACCCCGCGAACGTATTCGCATGGATTCATGGCAGTTTCGCACCAGGATCCACGCTTTGCGCCATGAATCCATGCGAAACACGGTCGCGGGGTCCAGTTTCGAGGGGAATATCTCAGCCATTACAGCACTACCTGAGCTGCCACTTGGGCAGTGCCTTAGTTAGGGCCCCAAAAGTACTTTCTACGTAAAAGCCCCATAGGTCCAGATCTGCCTGGACGCTGCCTTTAAAAAAGTATATCTGGCCGAAGTGACCATTTCACACTGGACAGAGTCCTTCCAGCGCTGACCACTCCCTTGTTATTCCCATCCGAGGTCGCTCCCACGTGTCATTCCTTGCATGGAATCTCCATTCCCCCCTCCCCCCAAACTTCTTTGAGTTCTCTCATTTTTGAACTCATAGATCAAATCAGCAAGACATCACAACTTACATTTGTGAAGCTGTTTAGCGGACATTACAACTTTTTAATCTAGAATTCTTTGAATTTATAAACTACCCCTTTCTTGGCAAGGTGTTTTTTGGAAACAAGCGCAACTTTTCTTCAACTAAAAAAATCTTACAGTCGAAATTCCCCGTTCGCGTTTTATAGAGGCCGAACTGTCAAACATTCATGAAATTTCTGCCAAACCGGCCTAAAACCACTCACTTTCCAGCTCGTCTCAGTAGGCTATTAGTTTTTTTTTTGAATCCTACCATCGAAGCGTGCTTCTGCTGTCAGCTGCTGAGCTAAGCAAATCTTTGTTGCTCATATGATTTTTGGATTGCGCAATATTAAGAAAGGTTTAAATGTGCAACTTTACACTTCTTAGTTCAGCAAGGTTTCAGCTGATGGTGAAGCCACTGCATTGATTCTATATTGTCTTTATACACTGGAACGTTAACGGCAGTTTCTGACGGCAAGTAGTTTTTTTTTCGTCAAAACTTTCCAGACCTCGATTTACTTCCCCGGAATCTTTCTAGCCTGTCCCACTTCCTTCAACCTTAGCCCAAGGTGGGCAAAAAACCCTGTTTTCTGCTTTTACAGTATGGAAATTTTGCACAAACAATTGACATGAGTGAATTTCCGATTATACAAACTGAGAAGATTAATGAGAAAAATTCGCATCTATGGTCGCTGTTGCAGTGCATTTGATATGAAGGTGGAACTTGTCTGATACTGTAGAGCAACACGTCTTTAGAAAACTGTGAGAGGCTGTCGTTTGGTGGAATGTAGTTAATCGAGTTTACCGCTTTAAGAGTTGTGTGAAAGGGCACAGTGATCAACAACTCGAGGAATAGGCTCAAGCAAAAAATGAGTCATTAATTTGGGTGCAGTGGGTGCATTCGAGACAGACGGAATTGTTGACATCGCCTCGGCAGCGTGATGTCAGATGGCCCCCCCCCCCTGCGCTTTATATAGAGAGATGATATAGAGGCGTGATTTGTCGCAAATGTTTGTGCATGGAACCTCTTTTTGGCGACACTTCCTCTATCCAAAACGTTATTGTCCCGGTAGCTTGTTGCGTTTCTATGAATGTGGTTTTCGTACTCTAAAAATTCATACTCTCGAGTTCCAGGGTTTCAAAAATGTTTCACCCACTAATACTGAACGTTCGGGGCGAGAAATTTCTTCTTAACACAAGGACGCTAAGAAAGTGTCCAGGCGCAAATGATTTGAGCATATTTCTATGCATGGATCTTCCGGTGAGGGATGTTATTCTTGATTGTGACGACTTAATCTGCACTTTAGCGCTCAGGAGAGTTGTTCCTTGACAGAGACCCCAAACTTTTTGGGCAAATCGTGTTCTACTTGCAAGATGGAAGACTCAATATACGGTACGATGAACATCTACTTGCTCTACTGCAGCAGGAAGCCGAGGTGAGTACAGTGGATTTGGAACTGTTTTGGTATATGGAGATTGAAGTTCAAAAATTTCTCTTTAGGTTGATCTGTGGGGGCCACAAAGCACGCATATCTCGTACCCTTTGATTCAGCTGGTTGGCTGGTGGAAGGCGGGGCTTCGTGACCTCAGGCTAGAAAATGATCAAAGAGCACGCTTGCGAGGGAGACGCAGGCTGCGTCGCGGGCGCGAACAGTCGCCTTCCAGCCGCCAATCTCGTTGATTTTAAGGGTATATCGGATACTACTCCACTTAATGCATCCTAAAAATTCAAAACCACGATTCCATTGAAAATCAGCAGGGAGGAAAGAAATTATTCGACGTATCACAAAAATGATTCCGTCTATAGGCCGTTCAAGGTTTTACAGTAGGCAAACAGTAATCAAAATCCAAATCTGGCTGAATTTTTCCCTGAGGGGTTACTCGGCTATCACGAATATCACACTTCTCATCCGCGAAAACGTTCCCTTGAATAGTTGCGATAGATGTGTGGTAGGAGGTTCGAATCCTAGATTTGGCTTCAATTTTTTAGAGGAGTTGTTCGACATTTTGATCACGATTATCATAGTGTTCTTGCGTTTTGGGACCTTTTTATGGAGTGATAGGCATTTAGTAAGCTGTCAAAATCGATTTGCCTGTAACTTTGCTCATTGCGGAGGGGATCTGCTGTGCTGATCACAAGTATTGCTTATTTCGCATTATAAAACCTCCTCGTGAGTTTCTTTGATCTAAACTGACTTGAAAAACAAAAGATGTCTGTTCATGCGCTGCAAATTGCCATTACTCCGCAGCAAGGTGGTATTGCAGCGAGCAAGCTTGATATCGTAATCTGCACGTTGAAAACCTTTCTAGGCAAAATTCTGAGTAATTCGGAACTTCGGCCCATCTATCGTATGCCGAAACTACCGGAAAAAATGGCGATACCATGCGAAAATGATAATAAGTTTAGCGTGTTAAATAACAATTCTATAGAGTTGTCTGTGATTTTGGCCCTTACCGTATATCTACTTCAACCATGCACGGGCACGTTTTTACACAGAAAAAGTGTGATATTTGTGATTAGCATGTCGAATAAGTTCTTTATGCAAAGTTCCAGGGAGACTGCTATTTCGACCGCATACCGTATACCTGCCGTAACCCCTCTAAAAGGCCTTACTATTCGTAATGAGTTTTTAAAGCGCAGTTTTCAGGGATTAGCGCATGAAATGACAGATGGGGTTTGGGCTATAGCACTTGGAGTGTCTATTACCTAAATCCACCAAAATCCGAGAAGGGTTGATTTCGCCCATCCACTGCCTCTAATAGCGGGATCCTTAGTGGTTACGGTAGATGTACACGGTGGGGTCAAGACCACAGCTTTGCTAGATTTCTCGGCACAGTTATCACTCGATTTACTCTTATATCATTCAACCCGCTGGGCTGGACCATTAACGGTACGGTAGCTTCACGGTATGGAATTAAAAATCGCAGATTTATTGTTTGCATTTCGTGCGAATAGGTTATCCGACATCGTGATAGGCTTTTTATGGAATCATTGCGCCCAACTGATGGGAATTCGAAAAGAACCAGGTGTTTTGTTGATTTAATATGGCTTTTTTCAGTACTATGGCCTCCATCATCTTGCCGCAAGACTTCGCAACCTTCAACCTTTCGATGGCGAACTAACCATAGTTGCGAATAAAGAACTTGATCCATCTGAAGTCGCCGTCGCGGAAGAAGGAATAGCTACACCATCTGGCTCCTCTGGTAGCGACGAGGAATTCGTTTTTGAAACACGTGCTTCTCATGTTTTGGGAAAACGCCGATGGTGGGAATGTTATCTTGATGGCCCGGATTGGTTGGATTATGGTTGCCGTAGAACTGGTTTTTGTGGCAATAAATATTTGTTGTATAAATAAATTTATTCTTGTGGGCTTAATCATATGGCAGCTACAGGAGGTTGGGACACATTGAAATTTTAGATTTTCCTAGGTGAAAATTCATTCATGGGCCTAGGCAGTTTTTATGATGTTTGATAAACGATCTAATAAAAGCTGTGGCTTTTATGAATGTGGAAAAAACTTCAGTACAGATGTTGAAGGGCATAGACAAACATTTCTTGGACGTGGTTATTTGAGTCAAAGACCCAAGCTTACCAAGGTGCCTTCATTATTTCTCGAGTTAGTCTGCACACTGTGTTAGAGGTCAGTCTCGGACGAAGGCGGATGGTTTTTTGTCGCGTACGCGGCGATCGAGCACCTATCATCGCTAGAGCGCATATGGCGCTCATAGCGACGCCAGTAAACGCTCGCGCATCGCGCTCACGTGCGATTACCTGATTTGGATGTCCGTCGGGGACTAGCCTTTCAACAGTGGTAAGAGGAAGTCAGCGAATCGATTAGTTTTTCGCACACTCCCGACCACGACTTCCTAGGATACTCTTCTATGACAAAATTTTCGAGTTTTGATCTTTTTGTGCACAAGCAAAAACAAATCACGACAATTTTTACAATTTATGTAAATCATCTTTCAAAATTTGCAAGCCATTTATTGAGTCAGCCCCCTCCCCCCCCCCCCGCTTTAGTGTCTGTTGCCGTGGGCCATCCACTGCGTTGTATTATATCATGTCATTCGGAGCAGTTGACATGTGTGATACTGTGCTTAATACTTTGACGACAGTGCCGCGCAATAGTGCGCGGCAGGCAATCTGTCCCTGTGGACGACGCCGCGCATTGGTACGCGGCGGTCTTAATTCCAATACTATCTGTCCAATCCTCTGAGTTGGTCATAATAATCAACATAGGCTCGGATGTACTTCATGTATTAGCTCCGCCCCTTTCGGCAAACTCCGCCCACTTCCATGCCTTTCACAAAGACCCTTTTTCTTCTTAAAAAGCATGGATGAGGTTGTTGATGAACGCTAAGACCTCAGGCAACTTCAACCAGGACCTGCCCACCGTTAGACGAACTCCGCCCACTAAATGGCAACCGCTTATTTTTTGAAAGAGGCGGAATTCGCATGAATTCTTCAAATTTTGGCAATTTCCGGCCAGTGTGCGGAGCTTGCCACAGGGGGGGGGGGCTTGCACATTTTATATTTCGTGCATGGATGCATGCATACATACATGCGGCCAGGCGTAGGGATGCACGGAAACGTTTCCTCTACAGGGACAGACCTCAAAAAAATGGTCCGTTGTCAACGTGTTAAAAGCTGTACGAACCACCAATGAATCCCTTGCACTTGCTTTTGTTCCTACAAAAAATCATTTTTGGATTTTTCACTTGTTAGTCAGGTTTGACTTTTGCGTTTGTTGCACAACAAACTTGTGGCCTTCGTTTCCATTATCGCTTACTAAGCGGAATGCGGACGATGGCTGGCGGAACGCTCAAAAGAATAGCTATCTGAAATTAATTTTGGTGCGTACGCTTCAGAATCAGCCTCTTCTCTCTTATAGTAGTACTTTGTATATAGACAAACCACCAGGGTCGATCAGGAGGTGTGGCACACAACCGCCGGATACGACCTCCCTCCCAAGTTGTCTAGGTAGCCCTTCTCCAGCAGGCGTTTGCCTACCGTAGGCATGATATAAAGGCTCTACAAAGCATAATTAGTAACATATTCATCATTATCATGTCAAATACCCATGTGGGCCAAGATTTAACGAGTTTTGACGGATCCCAATTGGGCCACCCAAGTGAAGTGGTCATTTTCAAACATGGTCAACGGTATTTTGAAAGTGAATTTTCTATCTCTTTTTGTACTCATACAAAACATTGCTCCCTATTTGCCCAAATAATGAATTTTGCTTCAAATAACCGTCAAACTGTGGAAGTAGGAGCCAGTCAAAATCTCATTGGTGCCATTTTTCGCCTAAAGTGGTTGTGCTTCCAGCAACTATTGCTCAAACGAAAGAAAACGGATCTAGCTCTAATCACTTTTACAAAAACTGCGAGAATTTGGCTAGTAATTAGTGTATACCTTGCTCGCTGAAATTCTCTTTGGAGATAAGTTAATGGGGTGTAGTACAACCTTAGAAAAAGTGTTACTGCCACAATTTTTTAGGGATTATGCCACACCCTATTAACTTACCTTCAAAGCACTCAAAGTCAGTGCTTTTTATATTAGGTTGGTGCAAAAGTAATGCGCGTTTTGCGAGTTCCCAATTTGACGTGCTATAACTTTTTGAAAAATCCATATTTTTCAATGCGGCGAACTTCTTCAGAGGCAACAAAGCTTTCTCTATACAGCGCACTTTAATTTATGTTATTATCTCAAACCGGTGGAAAAATATGGGTTGATAAGCAAAAAAGATTTTATTCGGGAACCCCGTATTTAACTGATCATAGCTTTCTTCAAAATTTGTCGGTATCATTGACAAGTTGACTGTCTTGTTGCCGCAAGCCAGTAGTACAAAAGGGCTCAGATAAAGAATATTTGCGAAAACGAAAAAATAATATTCAAAATTGTCCGCTTTTTTCGACATTTTTTCGTAGCCCTCAAAATCCCAAATTATGGAGATTTTTGATTTTCCGTGTACTGAACAGCTTCCACATTTCTGCAAAACTGTCAACAGGAGGCCCACCCTTACGCTTACAGAAATGAGCAGAACTTTGGCCATTGCCCTCTTCAAAGGAAATCTGTGGGCCACAGAATGGCCAAAACCATCACTCATGTTGAGCCGCCGAGATCTCAGTCTAAGTAATTTCTAGAAAAACAGTAAAGTATGCATAACGTAGAGAATTTCCACTACATACAATAGTTAAATTTTCAAAAGAATGCCTTTACTCGCGCTTGAATTCCGGCCCAAAAAGTAAGTGCAATGAAATTCTGGTTTTAATTGCGGTTTGGGAAGCTCTATAAATCTTTAACGGATGAGGCTAGAAGCATCTTTCAATGACCGTTGAATAGAGCATGAAAAAAGCTTCTTGACAATATGCTAGGTACGTTTCCTAGGAGAAACTTCGATGAGATAAGCTATCTTGAAACAAGGGTTGGAAAAACGCGCGTTACTTTTGCACCAACCTAATATCATTGTCATTGCTAAACCTCCTTTACTACATAGTAGGAATTTGAATTTTATTCTTTCTCCTAAGGATAGATAAAGTCGTTTTTTCTTACTATGCAACTAGAAAATACTGTGAAAATATCGGGTTACGGTAACATGCTAATTTTGCGTTCCTACATGAATTGCAAAGAAAGGCGGCAAGAATGTATATGTTCGATAGCCTGAATCTCGTGACTTCACAAACGTGACTTGAGCCTGAATGGTCTCCTCTGGTTTGAAATATTAAAAGCAAAATGGGACAAACGAGATCTTGGCCTGCCTCTAACCAGTTATCAGAGGTGCGATAGTGGGAGCCGATCCTCCCCTTACCTTCACTTTTGAGCTGGTACAGGGTGACCACCTACGCTTTTGGAATAGAAACTTTTTTCGCAAACGATAAAGAAGGAAAATAAGCAATACAGACGCAAAAAAGATTATTAAAAGCATATTTTTATGTATACGGCGGCATATATACAGGGTGTCCCAAAAAATGTATCGAACGTTTGATCGTTAATATCTCTCTTTCCAAGAAGTCTTTTGCCTTGCTTCAGGTACCGTTTTGTAGAGCTAGCTTCAACTTAGATTTGCATTATAGAACGAATCACCCATCTTTCTTCATTACTGTAGAATTATGGTAGAAACTTGAAACATATGGTGTCAATGTAGAAATAGCTGCCGTTTCAAAATTTTTCAAAAAATTGTGAAAACTTGTGTATTGGGGTTTTTATGGACGCTTAGTTTAATACTCAACTATTCTCAAGGTTGCGAAGCTTTCTAAACGGTGTAAACGCACTTTTTAGGAATATTGGAAAAATGGCCGCTACCTCTTACCTGGCATAACTCTTCAATAAGACATCATAATAAGTTGGGAACTTCACAGTTATAATCAGCAACTCTAATTAGCCTAGTGTAAAAGCTTTAAGGCTGTTTTGTTTCCTTTCTGAGGCAAAATATGGCCTTTCATTGCTTAAAACCCTCTTTGAAGTTTCTACCGTAATCCTACAGTAATGAAAAGAAATGAGTGACTCGTTCTATAATGCAAATCTAAGTTGAAGCCAGCTCTACAGATTGGTACCTGGAGCAAGGCAAAAGACTTCTTGGGAAGAGAGATATTAACGATCAAACGTTCGATACATTTTTTTGGGACACCCTGTATATAATCTATTTTAAACGTGTTTAGTAAATGGTGTATTTGGAAGTAAAAGTTAGAGGGACTGTACGGATTTTATTAAGTAAATTTTGTCATAACTTACTGCGAAGAGTAGGTCGATCCAGGGAATAACCGCCGAGAACCAGAATTTTGAATAATAAAACAAGAAAAAACATGCGAATTTTCCACTTTTATAAATCTTGCGGTTGAAGACGTCAGCAATTGCGACTTCATAGGTTTTGAAGAGTAAATGGTGCTCTATCAGATAGTGAAAGAATCGGTTCTATCTGAGAAGTGGTCGCCGAGAGACAGGATTTCAAATAATTAGGCCATTTTAGATTGCTTAGTGACAGCTGACAGTCAAACTCATATTAATCCTGAATGTGAAGGTGTATGGTGTTGCGACTTCATAGGCTTTGTAAACTAAGGTTTGCCTTATCAGACTATATCTTAGCCGTACCGATCCATCAAAAAGCGCCGAGATCCACGGTCTTGAAAAAGCAGGTAAAAAAGCGCGTTTTGAAATTCAACAGCTCATAACTTCTTCAGGACTGCATGAATCATGTTGCGACTTCATAGGTTAGGTTCTTCTCATCAAGATCTTTCAGAGATATAAAATATGTGGGGGTTGAGGGCCTCCGACTTATGCCCGGGGGAAGAGACTTTTCATCACAAATTCTCCCCTGACGGCCTCCACCCAATACATTGAAGTGGGCTGGGGGAG